GGTGGTCAGTTACAGAACGCTGGCCAGCGTGCAGGGCCCCAGTCCACACCTTGTTTCACCCTCAGCATCTCACACACACACACACACACACACACACACACACACACACACACACGTGTGCACACACACGATCATAATGCACACAAGCACTTGTGTACAGTTCTGGAGATCTTTAGGAACATTGCAGAATTATTCTACAGCTGGTTTGGTAGGAAGTAACATGCAGAGACACCAAAGTCATTCTGAGAATAGGACCAACCGTGGAGCTCACCTTTCCGGTCCTCGGCTTCCAAGTGTCCATCAATTTCTCCTCTAACACAGCCTTGGGCTCCTCAGCCACACCTCCGACCTCAGTTTAAAAATGTAACACGTTTGGGGCCAGGAATACAGCTGAGTGGCATAAGTGCCTGCCTGGCAAGTGCAAGGTCCTGAGTTTGATTCCCAGTACAAGAAAAAAGCAGTTTTGCTCTCACCCAGTTACTCCATCCCTCCACTAACCAGGATGCGCTATCCTTCAGGCCTGACTACCTTAGTACGCGCTGCACTTACACAACTCTATCACAGTTTTGGGTCCCTGACTTCCAGGTTTTTCTCAGCCCACAGACCCCTCAATTCACCCTTAGCTCAGAGGTTCATACTCATCTAGGGCGTTTTGCCCCTCGGTCTTCTTGTTTTCATACTCCGCTAAGCCTCCCTGGCTGCGTGAAGCCTTCAGAACTCTCCGTGCTCTGGGCTTGGTGCACAGCTGTCACCCCCACAGCCCACAAGGCCGAGGCAGGAGGACTGAAAGTTGGAGCCCAGCCTGGCTACTTAGTGACTTGCCAAGACCCTGTCTCAAAATAAGAAATAAAAAGGGCAGGGGAGGTCACTCAGTGTGAAAGCACTGGGTTCAGTCCCCAGGGCCGGGAGTTCACTGTGCCCTTCAGCATGTGACCGCTGGGGCACCATCACTCAGCAGGGCAGAGGAGAGAATGAGGGGACGACTGCCATCAGGACTGTCGGGGACGCAGCGGGTCAGGGTGCACCTAGGCTGGGTGCCGGCCCCGCGTTCCTGCATCACACAGGAAAGAAAAGTGTGACTTCACTAACGATGGTCACCACCCCAAAGGGACCCTTCTAAGTCTGTAATTCAGTGGCTCTGCCGCGTCTCTTGCCAACTCTCTCTTCGCCCTGGGGTACGGGCTGTGACGATGGTGACTGGATTTATAATCTGGTAGAGGAAAATGCATTTCCTGACGGAACACAGGAACAGACATTGTTTAATCAACTGTATAAAAATGTTAACTTCTCTTCAGAAAAATATTATAAACAACATCAAGTCTGGGGAAAATACTGATGACCACAAAAGGGTGTTTTCTCTACTATTTTGGGCTGTTTTACACATGAAGGCAAACGCGATGACAAGGTAATCGGAAAATGGGCAAAAGCTAACAGACAAACTTCCAGAGGAGCCATAAGGGCTGGCAAGCACGTACACAAAACGCTGCGCACACATTAAGGATTTGATAAAGAACAAAGAATAGGGGCTGGGGATTTAGCTCAGCGGCATAAGCGCCTGTCTTGCAAGCAGGCAGTCGTGAGTTTGATCCCTGGTACCGATAAAAAAGAAAAAGAAAAAAAAAAAAAAAAAAAAAAAAAAAAAAAAAAAAAAAAAGCAAAGAGTAATTTGATAGTGGTAAAGAATTTGAGTTTGAAATGCAGCACCACGACTCTGTCAGAGAGTTCAGCATTCATGGAGTCCTGTGTTAGCATGTGGGAAACTTGTAGGTTTGCTATTTTTTTCTTTTTTCCTGGTACTTTGGAGGCCAGAGTCGCACACGCACTACAAGTGCACTACACCAACATCCCGGTAGGGGTCTAATTAAAAAACAAACAACGACCCATTTTCTGTATCTTTTTATCCTTTGCTTCAACCTAGATGGGTACTTTCTGGTCCACTGTTATCCTGGGGTCACCCTTTCCCAGTCACGGGTTTTTTGCTTTTCTTCTCTCTGTGTTGAGCTTTTCACCTGCTACCTAAGGGGGGCCTCCTCCACCTTCCTGGGGCTTGCTGCCACTGAGCTGTAGTGAACCCTCAGCAGCTGCCTGAAAAGGGCAGGTGGGAAGTGACTTGCGTACATGGAAAATGTCTTTATTCCCACTCGGACTGAACAGTTGGAGAAGGATTAGAAGTGACAGCCACGAAACTTTTATTCTGTTTTGATTTTGTTGTTTTGTTTCGTTTTGTTGAGACAGGGTCTCACTACACAGTTCAGGCTGACCTTGAACTCATTATGTAGCCCAGACTCATGGCGATCCTCCTGCCTCAGCCTCCAGTTTACAGGCTGGGGTCCCAGGCATGCGCCACCAGGCTCTATTACACATGAGGTACTGGTGAAGGAAGCCAGGGTCTTCATGCTGAACCAGTCCCCCCACTCTTTACGGGGTTTCACTCCGTCACTAAGTTGCCCAGTCCAGGCTTGAATTTGCAGTCCTCCTGCCTCTGCGCCCCCAGAGTGCTGGGATTCAGGGCTGCAACACCACACCTGGCTTACGAGTTTTTTTTTTAAGCTTATCAGCAATTTATGGATGATCAACGAACACCTTTCTTTGTCCTTTTTCCTGGTGGTGCTGGCACTGAGGTCTCACCCATGCTACCCCGGCACCTGTTCTACCCCTGAACTGCTCCAAGCCTCATTCACCACTTTTTTCACAAACGTATTTTTAGAGCTCCATTCTCATGCTGTGACCTGGGCATTGGCTCCCTACTCAGCCAGTCTAACACAGTTTCAAAATTCTAAATTCTATGTACCATGTTGATATGTACAGTTTTTATGTTTTTATGCATTACTTAGGAAAACAAGTTGAATTAAAAATCTTGAAAACTTCAAAAATAAAATCAGTGAAATTCAATCCAAGCAAATGATAAGGCAAAAGCAGAAAATCTAAGAGGGCCCTAAAGAAGCTGTAACAGGTCACTTGGCTGATTCTGCAGTTAGATTTTGATAGGCACCATAGGTTAAAAAATCACATTTTTGGGCTGGCAGTGTACCCATTGTAGAGCACTTGCCCAGCACATGCCAGGTGCTGGGTTCAGTACCCAGCAGAAGGAAGGGGAGCCTGGTACAGCGGTGCACCTGCAGAAGGCTGAGGCAGGAGACCTATGAACTCAAGTCTAGAAGGGGCCAGAGTGAGACCCGCCTCAAAAATTGAAAAGGGTTCAAGAGGAAGTTCACTGCAGGGCCTGTCTCAAGATAAAGAAACACTACCATGTAATAGTAATGAGCCTGGGTTTGGTCCCCAGTACAAAAACAAAATACAATAAATTTTTTTGTAAAAACAACTGATAAGTCCATGGATATAGCTAAGCGGCATAAGCACCAGCCTGGCATGAGTTTAGTTCCCCAGGTACCAAAACAAACAAACTAACTAACTAAAAACCCTGATAATTGGTACCTTTCACAGCAGTTTTTAAAAAGTTGTGTAGATGGCTGGAGGTGTCGCTTATGCTCGCCTGGCATCCTCTAGGCGCTGGATTCAATCCCCAGTATCAAAAGAGCAAAACCAGAAAACACACACTGCCTTCGCATGAACAGCCAGTGCATTCCCGGTCCCTTTTTATGCCCCAGGAGACCGCACAGAGGCTGCCTTATTCCCGTGACGACCCTGGGAGAGCGAGCCAGCAGGGGACGGAGCCAGAGAGATCCGGCAGGAAAGCCGCCTCCTTCCTGGCACAGCATGAGGGCGCGGGTCACAGAGGGTTTGCACCCCCTTTCTGCACTGTTCCTTCACCCGCACAGGCAAAGCTGGGCAGCATCTTTGCCTGCTAGCGCTCCCCTGTGGCAGCGCCTTTTTCCTCCAAGTCTCATTTTGATTTCTTCCTAAGGGCCAGCTGGACTTTGGTGTGGTACGTGACTGGCTTTAGGTTAGAGGATCGGGCAAGACAGATGTGCGGCAGCCCTCGCCCCAAACACACTTTCTTTCTACTCGCGTGGGCTCACCTCCACCCCACGCTGGCTGAACGGACGGAGCTCAGGAGAGGATTCCAGGGCCGGCTTTCCCACCCACCTTGAGCATGTGTTGGGTCTGTGTCAGTGTCTGTGCCTGTGTCTCTGTGTGTTAAACTATTCAAATTTCGGAGCTGTTGTTACTGCAGCAGTAAATCATCCTGCTGCTGTACTCTCAGGCCCTCGATCATGAGACAGGGGAGGTGGGCAGTGGGGGTGAAAGGTGACACCCGCTGTGTGGGTGTCTCCCTGGCAGCAGGACAGCTGCCTTCCCCCAGAGCCATCTGAGAGACCTAGAAGCTGATGCATGCCAGTCTTCAGCGACTTTGTCGTGACTCCCACCCGTCTCCTCTCCAGGCCTGCCCTGCTCACACCGGCTGTGGGTTCTTGTGTCGTGTCGCTTGAGGCCCAGCAGGCAGATCCACTAGCAGCCATCCAGGGCTTCTCTCTAGGCCTGGGGACTTTCTCCATCTTCTGGGCAAATAATTACACGGAGCCAAACTAAGACAGAGCTAGAGGGAGTCAAAGGACAAAGCAGCAGATTTCTTCTTCGCGCATCCAAACCTAGCAGGCCCTGTTTGTTCTATGCTGCTGGAAATGGAACCCAGTGCCGCACGTGTGCTGGCGAGTGTCTGTCACTCAGCTGTTCTCCTAGCTCACCACATGATTTTGTGGGTGACTTATTTGTCAGAATTTATTGAATTATATGTTGTGCTTTTTTGTTATGTTTCATAAGAGGTTTTCTGTTTTTGTTTTTCTTCACTTTTGTTTGAATCAAATCTCACTGTGTGGTCATGTTGGCCTTGAGTTCACTATGGACGCAAGGCTGGCACAGAATCCCCCAAAATCCTCCTGCCTCCAGGGTGCTAAGATTATCAGTGTGGACTCCAGACGACCTGGCACTGGCTGACGTCACCTCGGAGGAGACCTCAGGTCAGAGGCACGCGCGCACGCATGGAGACACAGACACATGCACACACATGCACATGCTTGGAACTCTCGACCCACACAGACTATAGTGATAAGCATTTATTGTTGTTTGAAAGTGTAAAGTTATAGGGTAATTTGGGACAGGGCAGGGAAACTACAGTGTTTGTGAACATTTCTAGATTCTGCTTTTTATTTCAGATCAGGGGATTGAACCTAGAGCCTCCCACATGCTGGTCAACACAGTCTCTGCCTGTAATTCACCCCCACTCCATTTTCGGGATTCGAAGCAGCACCTGCTTCCAGCGAGGTGCCTACGCTGCAAGTCTTGGAACAGCGCACACACAAGAATTTCTTCACTCCGCTCAACACCAGGCCACAAGAGGGTGCATCAACCCTGCAGCTGAAAGGACTGGGGGCGGAATTGCTCGATAATGGCAAGTTTGAAGAATAAGTTGGAAAAACGTAAGCTGATCTTGATGTCTTTTTGAAATCTTTAAACAGGGTGGTAGACTCTGGAATAAAAAGGAATTGTATATTATCCTGAGGACAAATACTGTAATGATACCATTATTAGCATGAACATTTTAAAAAGTCAGGTTGAAGAATGCGAAAACACTTTGCAGAACCCAAGTGGACACGTGCACTTCTCCCTTACCATGATCCACCCCCGTGTGGTGAAGGAGATTATTTGAAGGGCTGTGGAACCGCTGTGTTGTAACAACCTACAAGGATAATAATGAGAGCCAGGTGTGACGGCCCAGGCTTGCAAGCCCAGCACTCAGCAGAGGCCAGAGGATCCATTCGAACATAGTAAGTAATCTAGCCCAGATTACAGATGAGACCCTAAGTAATCTGGCCCAGATTACAGATGAGACCCTGCCTAAAAATAAAACAAAATTCAATCTGGGTATGGTGGCTCATGCCTGTAATCCTAGCACTTTGAAGGCTGAGAATTGCCATGAATTTGAGGTCAGCCAGAAATAAATACTGAGTTCATAGCCAGCCTGAACTACAGAGAGAACCCTGTCTCAAAACAAACAGAAGCATGACGGCAGTAAAAAGCCAGGTGTGGCAGCATATGCCTGGAATTCTGTCACTCTGGGAGGCTGAGGCAGGAGAATAAGAAGATCAAGCCTAAACTGGATAATTTAGCAATTTAGAAAAATCTTGGGTCCAACAAATAAATAGCTATAACTGCTGTAGCCATTGGTAGAGCATGTGTTTAGCATGCAGGATGCTCTGAGATAGACTGTTAGATTCACATTTGGGGCTATTTCCTCTGGAGATAATTCATTTAAAATATCTGCTGAAGCCAGGCATGGTAGCTCACACTTGTCATCCCAGCACTCGGGAGGCTGAGACAAGAGGATCATTGTGAGTTCGAGACCAGCCTGGGCTACAAAGTGAGCTCAAGGACAGCCTGAACTGCATAGTGAGACCCTGTCTCAAAAAGACACATTAAAATAGCTGCTGAGCCTAGTGGTACTCGCCGGCAACCTCAGCACCATGAAAGGTTGAAGAAAAAGGATCACAAATTCAAATCCAGCCCAGGCAACTTAGAACTCTGGAGAAAGCTTTCTCAAAATTTTAAAAAGCCCGAGGAGGTAGTTTGGGGAAATATCCGAGGTTCAATCTCCAGTACCACAGACAACCACAAAGAGGCAGACACTCAAAAAATAGTGACGAAAGGGATATGCAACTGGTGTACATATGTCTTAGGCTAATTTGCCTATTCTTTACTTTCACATATTGCCCACCAAAAAATTTTTTTGTTTTCAAAAAAAAATTTTTTTTTTGAGACAGCGTCTCTTGTAGTCTAGGCTGGTCTTAAACTCACCATGTGGCCCAGGCTGGCTTCAGATTCATGATCCCTGCTGCCTCAGCATCAGTGCTGGGATCACAGCGTGTGCCACCGTGGCCTCTTACGTATTCTTAACGTGAGTCGAGTGGTTGAACAGATAAACCTCTATATGAAAATACAGTCGGAGCAAATGCACTGAATCCTCAGGAAAGAAGTTTGGAGCCGGAAGCTTCTTTTGGTGCAGCATCTGTGTCCCCAAGGCCACTTACTAGAAGGATGCAGCTGAGCTCCAGCGCATACAGCGTGGTCCACATGGGCGGGAACCGCGGCCAGCCTGCCTCCTGCCCCGGCGGGAAGTTGACGAAATTCCTCCAGCAGTGGCTGTATTCTGAGCAAGCACAGATCCCTGTCACTCAAATACCGTGGTAAAGTACACAGGAGAGCTCCAGTTTAACTGTCTGCTGTTAAAAATCAAGGATCCTGGGGTGTAGCTTGTTGAAAGAATAGGTGTGAGGCCCCGAGTACAAGGTCCAGGACCAAGATACACTAATAGAAAGTACAATTCGGTATATTGAAGGCACACAGATGTATTTACATGCACTGTATGGGAAGGTTCCAGCTGCTGGAGATGGGCTACACCCCCGGAAAGAACACAGCGGGTCACTTAGGACTGCCGCCTGTGTGGGTGTGGAGCTCCCGGACAGCACTTGTGTAGCACTGGCCAAATCCAGGCTTCCAACTTGGCACCCAGGGAACAGAGCTGGCCGAGAGGCCACCGAGGTGGCCTGGGGAAGGAGGTGTAGGGCTGGTGCCCTCCTTGCCCTTCGAGTCCACCCTGCTCCTTCCTCCAGTCAGCTTGGACTTTCCACTGCTGAGACACCAGCTCCCATCTACACAGGGGCCACCGCCCTGTGCTTGCAGCTTTACCTGAGTCACTCATGATCTGTACACGCACGCCGCTGGTCACGAGGTCCCTGAGTCCTTGCCGGTTTTGCTCATCCACGTGCCAGTAAAGTCGTGCGACGTAAATAACCAGACTCACATTCGGGTGCTGATGGAGAAACTCCCTGATCGCCCTGGCACACTCCCAGCACGGGCTCCAGGACAGGAACCAGGTCACGGAGCAGCGAATGGCAGGGCGCAGACTTCTCCCCGAGGTGAACTTTTCTATGAAGTTTATCTCCACGTGGCTGGTGGTGTTTAGGCCGGACTCGCGCCAAGTCCTGGGGCTTGCACCCCACCGAACCTCAGAGAGCAGACAGGCCTCTTTCTGCAGCTGGCGGGGGTCAAAGGAGGCTTCAAACTGCCAGGGCTCAATTCTCCTCCTGAGAAGCAAATGGCACCAGTGTTGTCACACGATGTCAGTGGGGTCCCGGGACATGGAGTCACATACCCCTCTTCTGTCAGTCAGTGTGCAGCACAGCGGCTCAGGGTCTGCTCCTAGGGTGTGTCTGAGTCAGCTACAGAGGACTCCAGCACCCTCAGAGCTGCTGTCTCCAAGCCAGGGGAAGGGCTTCTCCCCACCTCGGTTCTGAGGACAGTGCTCAAACCGGGGTGCATAGTTGCCCCCTTGTTTCCTCTTAAAGGTTCTTGTCATGCGTCAATCTTTCTGCTTCACACTTAGAGGGTCTGTTTCTCAGTGTGCTCTAACCAGATTTTGTAAGGTTGAAGTCTTGAAGAATTTTCTTGCCACTAAGACTAAGCAGTCAGGTCTGAGAAGAGTAAGTTAAGTCATAGGAGGTGGTGTATGATGGTTTTCCTGGTTACTTGGGATGCTGAGGCAGGAGGATCTGGAGATCAAGGCTAACAGAGCAAGAGCCCATCTCAGAACAAAGGAGAGAGAGAGAGAGAGAGGAGAGAGAGAGAGAGAGAGAGAGAGAGAGAGAGAGAGAGAAGAGAGAGAAGAGAGAGAGAGAGAGAGAGAGAGAGAGAGAGAGAGAGAGAGAGAGGAGAGAGAGAGCTTCAGCTCAGGAAATGTAGGTCTGTGCTGAGGACCCTGCTTTGCAAGCACAATTATATTAATCACAGATTATTTTTTTTTCGCAAAGTCCTCACATTAAATAATCACAGATTATTACACCTACTTGTTCCCACCATCCCTGAGGGACCACAGCCAGCTGTCCCCAGGCCAGCCCTTCCCTCTCCTCCTCCATGAGACGATACATTCCTGCCAAGATCTGCATGTTTTCCTGGCAAGAATGAGTCTCAGGAACAGCCAGATAATATAAAACAGGAGGGTAAGGTTGGCGTGAGGTTCTCCTGGAATTTCACTAAGGGCTCTGAGCAATGTGATTGAACAATGAGAGAAGCGGGACAGTAAGGTGTTGGGGAAGCAAGCTGAAAGATAATTAAAGGGAAGCCAAAGGATACAGCAGGAAAGACAGAAAAATAATAAACAGACAATTAAGTTGTGAAAGGCAGAAAGAAAGAATAGTAACACTGTAAGAGAGGAAGGAAACAATCATAGTCCTACAGAGTCCTACAGTCCCCTGCACTTAGGTGAGTCTGTATTTTTGTTGAAGGAAATGGCCATGGGCTGCTATGCCTTACCTCAGCGTGGCGTCTCCAGTTGAAGGACCTGTTGACCAACAGATGACTATGTCAAATGACCTTGAAATACGAATCCAGCTGCTAAGAAGCAGTGTGCTAGCCTCTAAACCTGCAAGTCACCTCTGAAAGTGGACTTAGAAGAGTCTCTCGTGGGCTTGTTGCATGGGGCCCACTTAACCCAAGGAAAAGCAGAATGTTTCAGAGTCTTCTGAAGTCTCTTTCCCAGATACTTTGTTCTGGACCTGGTAAGGCAGGCAGGGGCTGCAGCTTAAGGGTACATGCCTGTCTCAATCTTGGGCTCTGTCTCCAGCACTTCCTCCTACAAGCCAAACAGGCCTGCCATTAAAAACGTTCAAGGGCTGGGGATTTAGCTCAGTGGCACAAGCGCCTGCCTTGCAAGCGCGCAGTTGTGAGTTCGATCCCCAGTACCGATTAAAAAAAAAAAAATAAAACGTACAAAACTGAGTGTGGTGATGAAGCTGAGGCAGGAGAATTGCCACAAGTTTGAGGCCAGCCTGGACCACATACTGCGTTCAAGGCCTGCCTGAACTGCATAGTGAGAGTCTGTCTCTAATAATAATAATAATAGTAATAATAATTCAATGGGATAGCAAAGCTACTTCCCAGAGGTCCCTGGGTACATTACCTACTTCTATGTGACCTCATAGTACCTTGTACTTGCACAAGCATAGAAATTACTACACACCTGTAATTACACTGACTTGGGAGATACGCACTATGCATATCTTCTTCTGGGTCCTATTTTAATATTTATCAAGTTAGTGATCAAATATTATCCAGTCATTACTATTTGCCTCACACAGACCTATTCTCCTCTTTATTTTCCTACCTTAATTAACCTCTTCCGTGTTAACACTTAATTCATCCTGGTGATGGAACCTGAAATCAGTAGCATCTTCATTACTTTACAACCCATTTAACTGTTAAAATATTTCATCATCTAATTCAGAAATAACACAGCGCTCAGGAGGACCTAACCCAAGACAAGCAGTCCCAGCGGAAGAGCGAAGCAAACAGTTGTTGGTGAGCTTGTGAGTCAGCAGTCGGTAAACGGGCAGCCAGAGGCACAGCTGGCTGGAGAAAAAGAAACCAGCAGTTTCTTTAGAGCTAATGCAGGTCATGCGGCTTCTTCTTCGGAGGCTTAGTAATGCAGCAAAACAAACCACAGGAGGAAGGAGGAAGGTTACAATAAACAGAGCAGATAAGGACTCTTCCTCCTGGGAAGACTTTTCCCCAGTATGCTAAGTTGGCTGACAGCTCCTCCCCACTTCCAAGCGGAGTGCAAGACACAGAACTGCAGAGCAACTGGCTTCCTTGGAGCGCAGTTTCCTTTCACTTTGCCCAGCTGAGCAATTACTGCGATTTTCTTTAGACCCTAAACACACAGAGCCACTGTTTCAATCAAGTTCCCACCCTCCGCTTATCTATATATAAGGCCAAAACAGAGAAAACACAGTGAAAAAATTCCTCCTCCAGAGTACCTTCCTGCTGAGTATCTGCCAAGAGCTGTTTTTCTTGTTATTTCCAATAAACACTCCCTAACTTCCTTCATTTGTCTGTGATTTCATTCTTCAACTTAGTGAAACAATGAACTCAAATTCATACAAAATTAGCAGCTTCAATGAGACCTAAGAAATGATAACTTGTAGCTGGGTGTGGTGGTGCACACCTGCAATTCCAGCACCCAGAAGGCTGAGGCAGGAGGATTGCCATGAGTTTGAGGCCAGCCTGGGGTACATAGCAAGTTCAAGGCTGTCTGGAACTACATAGTGAGACCCGGTCTCAAAAAAGAGCAAAAGAATGAAAGAAAAGAGCAACTGTACTATAAACACATGTCTGATATCATAGAGCCCTCTTCACTATACCAGATGGTCTCTTCATAAAAGAATAAACATTAGAGAAGTCCAGAGAAAAACTGGCTGACATTGAAGAATGATGGGTTGAAGGTTTGATCAGGGGTAGGGCGCTTGCCTCGCACTGCAAACAAACAAACAAAGACAAGTTCTCCTAGCCATTCGCTCCTTGGTCACCAGAAGTTTAAGTTTGTCCAAGGAGATAGAAGAAAAGGGCCAAAAGTCACGAGGCCCAGTCACCATCACCAATCTCTCCCTTTGAGCACAGATACGTGAATTTTGAGACAACACAAGATGAGCCCACCGGACCCCTTATGCTCAGTGGGTCGGAGAAGGGCAGAAAAGCCCTCCCTGCTCTGAGAGTGAAGCAGCCACCAGCAGACACCAGTAAGAGGCTCTGTCCCCCCACCCCAGCCTCACCTTAGCCCTCAAGGCTGTGCGGAGCCCACAAGATCGGGAAGTCCTTGGAGACACCTCCTCTAAGGCAGGATGTGCTCTACCCAAGACTGTGTGTGTGTGTGTGTGTAACAACTCTTGGTGTGTGTGCACTGGATTTCCAGGGTGCGCAGAGGGATGGGGGCTGCTTGTGGCGCCATCTCCTGTCAGCGAAGAGGCTCTGCCTGGGAGGAAGACAGAAAGCAAAAGAGGGAGGAAGGAAAGAAGGACAGGAGAAAGGAAGGGAGGGAGGGAGGGAGGCAGATGGAAGGAAGGAATTGGCCTAATTCTAGGAAATAAAGCAGAACCAGGAAACTCTGATCTGCCAGGCAGAGCCTCCTGCACTGACAGGAGATGGTGCCACACACAGCCACAGTTAGAAGAAGGGCCAGGGATTTAGCTCAGCAGCACAGCACCTGCCTGGCAAGTGCGAGGTCATGAGTTTGATTCCTAGTACCAAATAAATAAGTAAATAAGTCAAACAAGGGCCAGAGCTGGAAGTGGTGGTGCACACCTGTAAAGTCACACAGGACACTGAGGAGGGCGATCTTGGGTTTAAGGTCAGCCAGGAACTACATGGTGAGGCCCTGTCTTCAAAGAGAGGAAGGTGCTGGGAATGGTGGTGCGTACCTGTAATCCTAGCACTCGGGAGGCTGAGGCAGGAGAATCAGTATGAGTATAAGGCAGCCTGAACTAATAGCAAGACCAGAGAGAGACAGTGAGAGAGAGACAGAGAGAGGACACAGGCTGGACACGTGGCTCAGGGGAGGGTGGAGTGCTTTCCTATATGCATAAAGCTCTGGTTTCATTTCTAGCACCATAAGTAAGAGCAAGAGAGATAGAGACAGAGAGAGAAGGGAGATTATAAGACAGGAGAAGAAAGAAAACACCCCACATACCTCCCGCACAGGAAAGTCCAAAAAAGATACCCGGACACAGCAATGCATTTGGTCTCTCCCCAACACCCACTTACAGGAGAATTTATTTTTTTGTAATTTTTTTTTTGTCTTTTTCCTTTTTATCGGTACTGGGGATCGAACTCACGACTGCCTGCTTTACAAGGCAGACGCTTATGCCACTGAGCTAAATCCCCAGCCCCCAGGAGAATTTATTAATAGAGGGGAACACAGTGGAGAAAAACACTGCTGCTCTGCCCAGCTTGCCGTCCTTGTGACTCCCATCTGGCCACAACCAAGGTGACTGCTCTGGTTGCTCCCAACCCAAACCCATGCTCCCCAGGTGACTGAGTCCAAAGCACTCTTTCTGGGGGCCTGGGATTTAGCTCAGCGGTGTAGGTGTCTGGCTGGCAGGTGTGAGGTTGTCAGTTTGATCCCTGGTACCAAAGATAAATAAACAAACAAATAATAAATAAAGCACTCTTTCTGACCTATCTGGGCAACTCAGAATGTCTCAGAGATTGACCTCTAATAAAAGGATAAGTCTCCATTTCTTTGTTTTTGGCATTATTAGGGACTGAACTCAAGGCTTGGGCCATTAGCCACATCCTCAGTCCCTGTTGCTGCTGCTGTTGTTGGTATTTGTTTTTGGGACAAAGTCCCGCTGAGTTGCCCAGGCTGGTCTCAAACTTATGGTCCTCCTGTCTCAGCCTCCCAGACAGAGTACTGGGACTGAGGCTTGGCCAGGATGCCAGGGAAATCTCCATTTCTTTACAGTGGCACTCAAAGCTCCCACAGTATCACTCCAGATTTGCTTTGTAGCCTTACCGCAGAAATTATTTCCATAAAGTTGTCTCTAGCCTGACTAGTTTACCCATTATATTCTAAACACATGTCTCTGCAAACTCTCAGATTAATTATTTCAACAGGATTTAGTCAACAAGGAATCTGGGTTTTTTTTTTCTTTCAGTGGTCCTGGGGATCGAACCCAGAGATGTACGAACACTGAGTGACACCCCAGTGTATTTTATTTTGTGTTATTTTATTTTTTGAGACATGGTCCCCATAAATAGCCCGATGGGTCCTCAAAGTTGAGGTTCTCCCGCCTCAGCCTCTTGGAGATTTGGGACTGCCGGCCCTGCCACCACACCTGACTCCTGTTTTGCCAGTCCAAATTCTATCCTTCCTTTAGGATCCAGCTCCAATCCCACCTCATCTGAAATCACCCCAACACAGTAATACAGCTTGTTTAAGAATAACATTAATATATTAATCTTAACATATTAAGGAAAGCTGGAAAACAGCCAAGGACACAGGGCAAACGGTGCGCGCGCATACACACACACACACACACACACAATTTTTGCAGTGTACAGGGGGCAGCAGTGGCAACCTGCAGTCCCAGCCACTGGGAGGCAGAGCAAAAGCAAGGCTCTGGCCCCGTGTCAGGCCTGGGGACCCCTCTACCTGTCCCGGAAGCCATGCCACTCTCGCTGCCTCCTTCCTCTGCAGTGCGGCTCTCAGGCGCTCCTGGCAATGCACCTGGACTTTGCCTCTTTGAGTGAGCCCTCTGCCACCTTTGAGGACGGGGGGTGACTCATTCCTGGGCTTGTCAGGTCACCCCGGTTTCTGGAGTCTGGGCTACACGCACAAGGTGTGGCCTGGAAGGGAAACTGGGATAAGATAAGAAAGACGATGATGTGAATGACATCAAGCTTCCTTGTCAGCTTCCAAGTGCTGCTCTGGTCACACCTGAGCTTAGTTAGGTTTCCTTTTCCTGCAAATTAACACGAAACTGATATGTCATTGTTTACTGGAGAGCAGAGAGACTGTGCAGAGGTGGGCGAGGCTGAACCTGTTTCTGCAACCTGCCAGTTTGTGGGTTACCTGGGAGGACATGGGCCGCACCCACCCCCACACCCTGAGCCCAATACTGGAGACGGGAGGGGCCTGTGGCCCCAGTGCCCCCGTCCTCAGTCAGGCAACCACGGTGCAGGTCTCTGGTGCTCTCACTGCCTTCTGGAAGCTAAGGTGAAGTGCGGGACCACGGCCACGCCTGCCTTCTGCTCCTTTTTACTTGTGAATGCTTCCCTATTTCCCTATCGCTGCAGCCTTCTGCCTCCTGAACCCTGGGTCAAGTTCAAGTCATGAATTCCTCTGGGTTCAGCACCCGATCTGAGACGTGAAGCCAGTCAGCACCTGAGTCTTCCTCTAGGATCTCAGGGGTAGAGCCCTGGACCTTGATCACAAGCCCCATGAACCTAAGCCTGAGCCCTAAACACAGGCTTTATTTAGCCCTGGAGGCCAAGCTGGAGCCCCCGCAAGATAGAGAAGTAGTAGACGACTGTTTTTAAGACAAGGCAGAAGCCACGTTGCACACATCTGTAATCCCAGCTGCTGCCGAGGCTGAGACAGGAGGTTACAAGTTTGAAGTTAAACTGCTTCCAAATAAAACAAAAAGCACTGGAGATGTAGCTCAGCTCTAGGATTCTTGCCTAGTCATATGAGGCCCTGATTTCAATCCCCACTACCAGAAAATAAACAAGACATCCACATCCTAATGGAATCTGTGAGGATGCCACCTCCCGTGACAGAAGGCCCTCTGCAGAGGCAGCTGTGGTAAGGGTCTTAGAGACTGCGGAGACAGTAGCAGAGATCTGTGTGAAATGACGGACTAACATCGAGGCCGGGAGTCAGGGAGCTCGGCAGTGCTAGAAGTGAAGGAGGTGAGGACGTGGGTTCCTCGAGACCTCCAGAAGGCAGGCCGCTGACACTTGATTTGATGAAAAGGTTCCTAGCCTGACCTCAGAACTGTGAGAACACTGGCCCTGCTTTATATCATGAAGTCTGCAGGGACTTCTTACAGCAGCAATAGGAAAGTCGCACAGTGAGACACGCTCACAGGAAGCACCTAGGCAGTAGCTTCGTCATCTGGCTTTGTTTTCCATTAATGCTATTGGCCACTTCATCCGTCTTCTATCTTAAGTAAATTTTGAGATGCACACAAGCGAGTAGCCCAGGCCTGATGAGCGATGCCCCCTCCATGGGAGGAAGCAGGTCCAGGCAGGATGAGCAGCAGCATCCTTCCTCATGGGAATAAGCAGGTCCCCATGGCACACCCTGATGTGAAGGCACAACCACCCACCAACTCCAAGCTGGCTCTCCATTTTGCTTCCCCTTGGGTTGGGCAGCCAAGGTGAGGAAGAGCTTACGAACCTGATCTTGGATAAAACAATGCGGGAGGAGGAAAGGTAACAACAGAGCTCACATCTGTGAATGTGAACCCCAGAAGCCCACTTGAAAGCCCACCATGTGGCCTGCATCCAGCAGAGATCTGAAGGCTGACTGCAGTGTGGCTTGGCTGGTAGCCACAAACCAGGGTGCACAGACAGAGGGGCCTTTGTGCAGGGAGGGCACCTCTTAAAACCCAGCAGCCCTAAATCCAGGGCCAGAAAGTCATGGCTGCCTGGATCCCAACACCGCAGAGCTTGCAAAGAAACCATTTATTCAATGACACAGAAATGTTTTTCTTTAACAGACTTTAAACATTTTTTTTTCTAATTGTATTATTTTTATCTTTCCTTCAGTAGGAGTTCTGGAGATTTGTGGTCCTCTTTCCCCTTTGGTTTCTTTTATCTCTTTTTCACATTTCCTTTTTGACTTTTTTCTCTTCCTTCTTACCTTTCTTTATCTCCTGTTTATGTTCACTGTTTATCTTTTTTTAAATTCATTCTTTGCTGTGATTATTCTCTTACTCTTCAGTGGAAGCTCCTATATTACTTTTTCTCCTCATTCTCATAACTTGTGGATTAATTTTTCAAATTTTGCCTGGTTCATTTGCTGCTTCCCCACCTCTTCTATCTTTACTAGTGTAACTGCTCAGCTTTATGAATTTCTAGATAGCTAGTTATCTTTATGTTACTGTTTTTTTGAATACTGCTCTATCATTAATAGAGGTAACGTTGTCCCATTTAGTAGACAATTAATATAGGTCAATAGTAGCTCAGTATTCACAGGACACTTATAGACCACTTTGGAGTAGAAGGGAGTTACTTCATTGATCCTTAGAGTTTTTCAATATTCAGTTTGTAGTTGATTCTGTAATTCATGGAGATTTTATTGCTGTAGCCAGATGACCTGGCTGTTGCTCTTAATTGGTTCTCTTGGGTGCAGGTATCTGAATTCTTTTGGGGTCATTAACAATACTATGACCCATTCCAGAGAAAACTGGATGCTGGGCCCAACAGGCTGTAATCCTCCCAGCTCAAGTAAACACAGGTGGGTTAATACTTGACAGAGCAAAGGCCAGTAATTAGCGTCCCCCAATGGACATCTCTGAAAAGTAGATATTAACTAATGAGATGTCCATACCAGAAACAAAGTTTTCCACTTTAAATCAATCTGCAAGCCTTAATACACACACACACACACACACACACACACACACACACACCCCAAACAATAAAGCATCAGATGTTAAGCCAACAAAATGCCTACAAAATGCCTATAAAAACTCCCTCAAAACTACAAAAAGTCCCTCAGAACTGATCCATGCAGTATGAAGAAGAGGAATCCACAAAGCTACATACCAGAATTATTAAAAATTATATTGAAGGCTAGAAAAACAGATTAAGAAGGCATTAAGAAAGCTCAGAGCAAAAGATGTGAGCAGTAAGATGTAGGGCCAAACAAATCACCAAGTGCAGAGAATATACTAATAAAAAATTGAACAGAATATAAAATGATGCAAACTTGCATGACCAGTATAAAAAAGAATTAAAGTCCATAATAGGGCTCCACACAGAAATTCAAGAGATTAAAAATTATCTCAAGCCAGGCATAGTGGCCTACTCCTGTAATCCCAGCACTCAAGAAGCTGAGGCAGGAGGATCACTGTGAGTTTGAGGTCACTCTGGGCTGCAGTGAGTGCAAATCCAGCCTGCATACATAGTGAGACCCTCTCTGAAAAAAATTCTATCAACAGTATGGACATACATAAGACACTTAAGATAGTTATACTATGAATTTCTATTAGTTCACTGAAGAAGAAAGGTTTCTGCCTATATTGTTTGATCAATTTCTCACATCTATATCTTATAATACGACTAAGTACCTTGAAAATAATAATATACAATGTATTAACCATTGTTACTTTCCTACTATCTTGTTTTGAAATTTTATATCATTGTTTTTATTGTTTTCTCTTTTAAAAATACAGCCAAAAAGTATGGGCAGCAGAAGTTACTAATGTGAGAAGAGAGTGTCAGATCCAGAAAATAGGGCTGTTTTCAATGACCAATTAATGAGACCCACCTTAAAAACAAGAGAAGATGGAAAATGGGTCCAGTAGCTACTAAATGATGCAAAGAAGACTAATCATAATTGGAATCAATAAAAAATCAGAAGACAGCACAAGTAGCATTTAAAAAACTGAAAAAAATAGCAGAAAAATTTCAAAATAAGGGAAAAGAATTTAACACACAGATAAGTGAGACCTCTAGGCTCAGTCAGAAAAGAACTTCTACATAATGAACCATACTCAAGATCCCAGAAGTCCAACACAAGAACAGAATCTTAAAAGCAATGAGAGAAAAGCAACAAATCACTTATAAAGGTAAACCAGTTAGAGCTACAGCAGACTTCTCAACACAAACATTAAAGGCCAAGAGAGCTGGGAGTGAAGTGTCTCAGGCCCTAAAATAAAGCCCACGCTGGCATAACCTGCAAAGCTATCTTTTAAAACTAACGGAGAAAAGACCTGCATGCATCTCCATCCTCTACTGCTCAGGCCAGCAGGGGCTTCCTTACCTGCAGCCCCACCATGCCAGTCGGACTCAAGTCAGCAGGGCCCTGCTGGCCAAATGGATGGGACTGGACCTTGTCATTTCCCCTCCTGTCTTAGAACAGGCTTGGGGCCCGAGCAGGATCGATATGAACAGAACCCCATACAAGAACTTGGCGTCCATGAGCTCTATCTCAACGTCTGCATTGGGGGAGTGGAGACAACACCAGGGCACCCAAGGTGTTGGAGCAGCTACAAGCCAGACCTATGCTTTATAATACTAGATACACTGTCAGATTCTCTGGCATCAGGAAAAGTGAGAAGATTGCGGTCCATTGCACAGTCTGTGGGGCTGAGATGAAAGAAATCCTGGAGAAAAGTCTAATGATGCAAGAGTACATATTAAAGAAAAATAACTTCTCTGATACTGGAGGCTTTGGTTTGGGGATACAGCAACACATCAATCTGGGCATGAAATATGACCCAAACATTTGTATCTATGACCTGGACTTCTATGTGGTGATGTGCAGGCCAAGTTCTAGCATTACAGACAAGCAGTGCAGGGCAGGGACATTTGGCCCAAACACAGAATCAGCAAAGAAGAGGCCACGTGCTGGTTCAAGCAGAAGGATGGTGGACTTTTCTTTCCTGGCAAATAAATTACCATTTCCACCCAAAAGGACAACAAAATGTTTGCAGTGAAACGTAAAAAAATTTATGGAGAAGTAAAAAATATCTTTTATGATAAAGAGCACCTAAGAAATTCATGACCACCAAAGCAGCACTCCAAAAACTT